GTCCTGTGGACCTTCATAAAACCCTGAACACCCAGATCACAACTCCCCTACCTGTATTCACTTGGGCACCCTTCATGAAAACATCTACAGACACTGCAAGTAGTCTGCATCCTATGGAGTGATCCAGGTGCTTAAGGAAAGTAGAACTTGAAAAAGTGATATTAAGTAGGATGAGTCAGGTTCAGAAAGGTGAACATCACATGTTCTCTCTCATATGCAGATCAGATCCTTGTTTCTAAGTTTCATATATGTGCATTTATGTGGGAGTGTGTGTAGACCTGTGAGGCTGGGGGTTAGGGGTCCCAAGGAAGCTCATGTGGTGTGAAAGTGCAAGGGGGGAACACTGGGATCAGAAAGGTACAAATACAGATGGGGACAAGGAGACTGGGAGAGTTGAGAGCAGAGGAATCAACCAAAACTAAGCGTGAAAATGCCACAGGGGAACCAGTTACTGTGTATGCTAATTAAATAAAGAAAATCCAAGGAAAGAAATCTTCCCAGGCTCTGACCACCATCTTTCCCTCCTGTCTACTCCTACCTGAGGCCATTATGTTCCACTTCAAACAACATCTTGTGTTCTTGGGGATAAGAATCTCTGTGTAATTGTTTGGAACTCTATAAATGACTTAAATTGGTTAGGATTCTAATTGCCACGAAATGACTTACTTTATTACCTTCTGGTGATAAGAGGGCTGTAACCTTCCTCCCCACCCAGGGTCATGCATCGGTCAGGGCCCTCCTGGTGAGTCCTTGGAACAGCCTCATCTAGCAGAGGTAACTACAGTGGCACCTGTGTGGTGTCCCAACTTTCCCTTGCCTTTCCATCAGCTTCTTGGGGCCATGGCAAGCCTCTGCTAGTCTATCTCCAAGTTCTGATCTCTCCCATATGGAGTACTGGGGCCTGATACAATTTGTTTCTTCTAGTTGTGTATACAATTTACATGTTTGCATTAATTACATGTACATATGTACATATACATACACATTAACTATCATTATAATTTTGTGTATGTAGTGATTCCAAGCTTTGACATTAGGTAGAAAGTAATTCTAAAGCTAGATATTTGCTATGTGATGTTGTGCAAGTCACGTTGCCTCTCTGATGTAGTGACCCTGTATCATTGGGTTGTTGTAAGAATCAAAGTGCTTGGTGAAGGTAGAACTTCAGAATTCGGGCCTATCATCAACAAAGAACGTTCACAGTGCTATGGGAGTGAGAAGGAAAAGCCATCATAAAAGATAAGGCAGAGCTTATCTATGATTTTTATCTATAAAGATAACTTTTTCCAAGCTACAAAATCACATGCATGTAACAGCTATTAGACATTCTTTGATTGAATTATATAAAATATTTTCTAATTTCAGAGGAGAGAATGACTGGACAGTGAGGATATCCTTTGAATGGGGACATGACACAAAAGTGGAAAGGCATCCCTCAAAGAGGCATTCTTGGCTGAGGGAAGAGCAGGGCAAAGGGCAGAGATAGGAATGCACCCAATGCAGTCCAGGGCCTCAGTGATGACACGTTCTCATGCAGGACTCTGAAGGGTATATATATATGGGAAAGGTAGGGGCAGAAAGGGCCTTTGGGAAGCTTCTTTGTTAGTTCTTGGGTTGGACTTAAGCCTGTTATACTGGGGCTACACAGAACATTGTCTTTCTTAGTATACATCAGTGTTTCTCAACCTGTAGGTTGTGACCCCTTTGGGGTTGTTAAATGACCCTTTCACATGGGTCACAAATCAGATATCCTGCATATCAGAAGTTTACATTATGATTCATAACAGTAACACAATTACAGTTATGAGGTTGTCACAACATGAGGAACTGTATTAAAGGGTCACAGCATTAGGAAGGTCGAGAATCACTGGTCTAGATGGACAGGCAGACCCTGGAGCTTGCGCTGGTGTCTGGGAATGGCATCTGTCTTCCCAACATCTCTGTCTTTTTTGTGTGATCCCAGGAGTCTGGTTTTGAGGACTGTCTTTACATACTAGTTTTGCCTTCCTTCCCTTCATTCCTTCCTGTAACTAAGTGATTCCTGGGGGTAATGGCTATGTCAACAAGAGATTCTGTGTCAAACAAGATTCTGTAAGGTAAGGACTGACATGTGAGGTTGTCCTCTGACCTCCACATGCAAATGGAGGCACATGCATACCTGTGTTCATATACATAAACATACATATGATGCATGTACAAGAGAGAGAGGGGGGAGAAGAGAATTAGGGACCCCTGCATTCTCTCACTGATGTTATGTTAGAGTCAGAACCCATTAGAATGCCACCCAGCTTGTCTGTCAGGATTCCTGATGATAACTTATTCTGGGACTCAGAGAAGCAAGGGGTGTAAGGGAAGAAGAAACACCCTCATGATTGTGGTCACTCTTTTGAGAGTTTTTTGGCATTCCAGAAATGGAGTCAAGCACCTGGGATAGCGCCTGGGGTTGGAGTAAGCTGCTCCAGGCAGCAGAGGGGTTGAAAGGGTGTTTGAGAAAATGACCCTCCCCACACATGTTGAGTTCTTGACATGTGCCAGAGGCTCCGATGTAATTGTCAATCTCCTACAAAGGCAAGAAACTTATTATCCAGGGGAGAAGTAGATAGAAGGGCATGCCATTTGCAGCTTGAGGTTACACAGTTAATAAGGGTTTAGAAGTGACTCCTTTGTCACAAGGGAATAGGTAGGAAAGTAGAAAGTTCTTGGGAGGGAAGAGGCCCCAGAGAGGAAGATGGGCCTCAGACTCGGTGTTTCTTACAGTGCTGAAGTTGCGCTTCTTGTAGTGGAGCAATTCATGTTTCAGAGGCTGGCAAGATGACTCAGAAGGTAAGGGCCCTTGTTGCAAAGCCTTAGGATTTGAGTTCAATCCCTGGGGAATTTGACACCACTAACCTGGGAGTATCTGAGTTACTGATAAACAATCTAGAAGCAACTAGAATACTTTTTTTTTTTTTTGCTATGAATGCAGACAATAAGTCAAAGGTTAGAAAAATTAATGAGAGTTACATCTGTATAATGGCCTTCTGGCCACAAAATAGGCATCTGTGTCATGATTTTGAGCCTAAATGTCTCCAAAGGCCAGTGCACTAAAGGCTTGTTTTCTAGCCTGAGGTGCTCCTGGGAGGTATCAGAACCTTTAGGAATTGGAGAAGATGGGTGGATGAAGGTGTGCTTTTTAAAGGGGATGCTGTAATCCCAGTCCCTTTTTCCTCCTCTTCTGCCTGGTGCCTATGAAATGAATGGGCCTCTACCACACCCTCTATTGTGAGGTACTGTGCCACCATCGGCACAATGCAACATGGTCAGAGAACTTTGATCTTCAACTCCTGGATCCTTTCTTCCTTGTAAATAGTTTATCTTAGGCATTTTGTCACAGTCACACAACTTAACAGGTTATCCAATTATGAGACTTTTGCATTAACTTCCTTTTGTGTTTCTCCATCTGCCCCCAGCCCTCTCCTGTCACCCAGAGTTATCTGTAGGTGAGGTTCCAGCCTCAAGGGCTCAGGGTAGCAGGGTACTTCTCAGTGGAAGGAGCTGTGGTCTGTAGTTCTGGTGTACTGGGTACCCCAGGGCAGAGCTGGCACTGCTATCTCTAACACAGATGGGGAAACTGAGGCCCAGAGACAGATTAGAGGTAATACAGAGCTAAGACCTAGTCTTCCCAACTTTTGGCCTAACTCTAGGATAGGTCAGGGCTCAAGAAAATTCCAGGTGTTTTTAGATTCAGGACAAATTGTATAGAACTTACTCTGGATCGATACACAGAGGTCAACCCCAACTGCCTAGGTTATGGGAGCAGCAATTATAAGTCTCTAAGACTTCTGGGAAGAAAGCAAGCTCAGCAGGGGGCCTTCTTGGGAGTAGGAACCTGTTGTGGTGGGGACCCAAGCCATCACCTGCCCAGTAAGGCATGAGATCCCAACACCATTCTAGTGTCTGCCTACCCTTCACACTTTTGAGGTACACTTCCTTCCTCCCAGTGTCTCCTAGTTGCTGGGCATCACAAGTCAGGTGGGAACCACTGCCTCCACCCTAGAGACAAGAAAAACCAGACTCAGGTAAGGCATGTGGTCTGTCTAGATTAGTGGCTTTTAACTTTCCCAGTGCTGAAACCCTTTAATACAATTCCTCATGTTGTAGTGACCCCCCAACCATAAAATTATTTTTGTTGCTAGTTTGTAACTGTAGTTTTGCTACTGTTAAGAGTCATAATTTAGGTATTTTTGGAAATAGAGGTTGAGAAGCATTACATACAGTCTCTGCAAAGAAACAAAGAACTGAACCAAGGGCTTTTCAATACAGATCCAAGCAGTTAGTTGGGCTCTGAGTGCACAGAGAGCTTTTCTGTCTTCCTTGTCAGCAATGCCAGTGAGAATGGAACATCCCTACTCAGACCAGCAAATGACAAATACTAAATTCTGTTTTAAATTAAAAACGTTTCTACTATTTTTCTCCCATTCCAAGAGCCAAGTGCAAGTTCACCGGCACCTGTCAGCAGGCAGAGGCCAGCATCACCTTTCAGCTGAGCTGGGCAGAATCTGATCTGTTCAGTTCCATATCTGTCTTCAAGGGCACATTGCTCAAGGTTTAGTATTCAGTTCAGATGTCATGAATGAATGCATGGATGGGCGCATGGTTGTGTACCCCCTCCTGGGCCTCCCAACGCCTGTGTTTCCTAGGGCTCATCTCCCCAAAGTAAGGGAGGAAAGCATCCTCTGAAATATTCTTTCTGGCTGCTGTGTTACAGATGAGGTCCAAAGGGCAAGAGTGACCAGCTGGAGGTGACACAGCCATTAGAGGAAGCACAGGGGTGAACGGAGAGCAGCTTATTCTGGAGTTCACCCCCAGCCCTCAGGCAGCCAAGCTTCTGCTCTAGGAGAATGACTTCAGCTGGTGAGATGTGTGTTGTCTTTTGCTGCCATGCCAGTGCAGTCTTCAGTGGCAAGCTCTGGGTAGCTTCCTGGGCTGTGAGCCATTGATGGACTGTGGAGTGATTGTCTCTGAGGGTCAGAGCTGCCTGCCATCACTGAGAGAGGAGAGTAGCTTGCTTGGGAAGAAAGCAACCAGTCCCTATGTTGAAGTGGCACAGATGCTGCCCCACTTGGGGAGTGGAGATGACAGAACAAAGGTAGGGACACAAGGCTGCTGGGTGAGACAGCCAGGCAAGGGATGCAGATCCCACGGGTACCATGGGACAAGGGTGACCTGGGCAGGGAACCAGCTTGCAGTGAGCTGAGTCTGAGACAGTGGGTAGCACCCTGTGGGAGGCACCAGCCTTGGCAGAGCAGTGGGTGTCAGCACAGGACCCTGTCAGGAGAAATCACAGGGGACTGATGAGTCCTAACCTTTACCAAGGGCTGTTCCTGCTGCCTCCCAGGTGCCTCCATGACTTGGTAGCTGGTGGTGGGTATGGTGGCCAGATTCTCCTGCCTTTCCTGGGACTTTCAGCATCCCATGCAGCTCATGTAAACCTACCTGGGCCTAATCCCCACAGCATGAATGGCATGTGTCTGGAATGTCACCTCACTCCTCAAAGATCCACTTCTTCAGTAGCAGACCATGAATAGAATGTTTCAGATCGTTGTCATTTCATCCTTGCCAAAACTTTAGTACTGACCTCAAGGGAGCAAGGTGACTTTTCTAAGCCACACTGTGATGTGAGATTTGAGCTAAGATTTGAAACTGGGCAACCTACATTAGAGCCTACTGCCCAGCCCCCATGTTCTATACTTTACCCTGTGACTCTCTCTATTTTGTGTACTATGAAGTTTTATACAGTGACAAAAATCACTCCCTCCTGGCCAGCTAGCTGGCCACTTTCCCCAAACCCCCACTTCAGGCATCTCCTTGGCCTTCCTATTTCGGAAAGGATTTCTATTATGCTTGGTACTATAGGCACCTCCCCTAGGGCTTTCTCAAACCAGGGCCTCGGTGAGATGCTCCCAGGAACAGATGACTACCCCTCCAGCCCCACTTGAGGACTGGGCCAAACTGGCCTCACCAGGCTGCTGCAATGCACTGAGACTTCCAATTTTCTCCTGCTTCCTCCACTTGGCTCTCTGATTCTGGAACCAGATCTGTGGTCAGGGAAAGAAAATGAATGTGTGCAAAGAAAAACATTCCAACCAGTGCCTCCCTCATCCGGTATCTTCCCCCCAAATGCAGAACATTGATATTTCCCAAAGAATGAGCACTTCAGTTTATAAAATTGTACCATGAGAGGGTGAGTTCTTTGTATGTGGAGTCTAGAGACTTCAGGGAAGAGACCAGGGTCACAGGGGAGAGGTAGAAATCGGGAGGGAATATGTATGAATGATAACTGATAAGAGTTAGGTGAACAGAGCTTAAAGAGAATTTTAGGTCTTGCTATCATAAGTCACCTGGAAACCGGAGCCAGTGTGTCAGACCCATCCAGTTTCCAATGTGAAAATCTTGCTTTTTTTTTTTTTTTTTTTTAAAAAAATGTGAACATTTTTTTGCGTTTTCAAATGCTGTGCAGTCCAAATACAACCCATATGTGGGCTGTTTTCCATCAGCAGGCCACAAATTTGTAACCCCTGTGAGCTACTTGGCATCAATAGGTTGAACATGGCAGATCTCTGCATTCTAGGGTGCCCTGATGGTTTCTGACATGTGGCCATTTGTACTTGGTGATTCTGGGGAGGCAGGTGTTGGATTCTAGACTTGATGGCACCGGACAAAGGTGCTAAGCATTCAGTTGGAGCCCAGTTCTAAGTAGTAGGAAAAGTGGAGCTAGCTAAGACTGGGTTGGATTTTAGCCAGCAAGAAAGAAGGTTGAATCAAAAGTGATACATCAGGCTGGACCTATATTTTGATTTTGAATGAGAACAAATGAACTGTATTTCTTATTTTAAAGAATAATATGGAAGTTCTGTGTTCAGACAGAGTGCTAATAGTATTGCAGCAGGGTATAGCAGACCTTCTCATGCCAGCCTGGGACTTGTGAAACAGAATCTACAAGAAGTCACCAGGTCTACCCTGGCGGTGACAAGAGGCTATGGTATCTCCAAGCATGGACAAAGTAATGGATACTGTGGGGTAAAGAGATGACAGATGTTAGATTAGGCTGTTAGTGCAGAAACCCTGACTCTGACAATGGACCCTTGCTCTGTCTACTTCTCTGCTTCCACCAAGGAAACATGGAGATGTTTTTACTAGGCTGGCCAACAGTTCCCTGGTAAGCTACAGATGCCATTCCAAATGTTTGAGTGGTCCACAAGCTGAGAGTGGTTCACACAGCTTCAAATCATTGAGAAAAGAAACAAAAGGAAGGAGAATATTTTACAACACCTGCAACTTGTCAGTGAAACAAATTTCAACACAAAGTTTTGTTGTAATGTCACCATGCTCACCTGTTTCTGCCTTGGCTGTGGTGGCTCTCAGGCCACCATGGGAGGGATGCGGCCCTCTCTAACAGTGACTGTATATCAAGCAAAACCCAAAGTGATTACTCTCAGTAAAAACGTTGGTTGACCTAATTCTCAGCTCTATGGCTGACAGTGTGACTAACCTTTAGAAGCATGCAGGAGCTAAGAGAGAAGACAAGGGGACAGAGATGGATGGAGAGCAGTGATGTCTACCCACTACATTGCCACCCCAAAGGAGAGACTCTTTTTTAAATGAGAGTGGTCTCGTTTCCTGGAAAGTAATATTTGGCTATGATAACTGCCCAGGAGATAAAGCCAATGACAGTTCCAGCTGGGGCAGCCCTGGAGTGCTGAGGACCCAGCATGAGACTGGGTGGAAGTTGGGTACTTTACCTGTACTCGAGCTTCGGGCAGGTTGATCCTGGAAGCCAGCTGGGTCCGGACATGGATGTCAGGGTAGTGGGTAAAGTGGAAGAGCTTCTCCAGTTCCTGGAGCTGCTCCGTGGTGAAGGTAGTGCGAACTCTCCGCTTGTTCCTTTTTTCTTCTGTGGCAAAAGAATGCAAGTCAGGTCAATGACCTGCATGACAGCTCCTTGGGAAACTGTTCATATTGCTTTGTTCTTCCTTCTCCAAACCAATGGACATTGCTGTCTTGGTCCTTGGCTACTTGGAATTGAAACTTAGCAACACCCACTAGGCTAATCCTCTTCTCCCCAGTGAAGTCAAGTTAACCTTCTAGAAAATTCTCTGATTCTGTGTCTTTCTTATGTTTAAATATCTTGAAGGCATATCCCTTTGTCTATAATGGGAGATGGCCTGCAGACCAAACCCAGCCCACTGTGTTTTTAAATAAAGTTTTATTGAAACATAGCTTTATGTGTTACATTTTATATTATCTCTTCCCAATTTTGTATTATAGTGGTAGCATTGAGTCACTGTATCTGAGAGCATATGGTCATGAAGACTGAAATAATTGCCATCTGGCCCTTTACAGAAGTATGCCAATCTTGTCTTACAAGGTACAGGCTAAGCATGGAGGCAGCAGGGCCCTGTCAATCTGTCTCTAAGCCACCTGTCTAGTCTCAATTTTACTCAGGTTTGGCTCTGCCATTTGTGGGGTCTATCACAAAATGAAAATATGAGTCCCTTGTTCAAAAAGAGCCATGTTATGAGTTGGTTTTCCTGCTGGCCTGGACCCACCTTGGGGCCAGCCCCAAATAACACACAGAGACTCTGTATTTGATATAATGCTGTTGGCCAGTTGCTAGTTTCTTATTGGCTAGCTCTGTCTTAATTATTAACCCATTTCTATTAATCTAAGTATCTCCACGTGGTCTCATCTTACCAGAGAGTGGGCCCGGACCTCTGTTCTCTCCAGTCTCTACATGCTGACTCCTTACTACTTACCTTTTCTTTATCTAGATTGTTATTCTCTGTCATGGGATTTGTTTATGTTTAAGTGTGTGTACATGCCTGTGTATGATGTGTGCATGTGTGTATGTACACACCATACAGAAGCTACAGGAGGACAAATGGTGTCCTGTCATTCTCTGTCATATCCCCTTGAGAAAGGGTCTCCGCTGAACTTGGAGCTGGGTTGGCAGCCAGAAAGCTCCAATGATTCTCCTGTCTCTGCCCCCCAGGGGTTACAGCTGTGCATGTAGATACATCCTGCTTTTCTACATGGGTACTGGGATTTGAACTCAGGTCCTCATACTTGTGCAGCAAATGTTCTTACCTGCTGAGTCATCTCCTTAGTCCTCATGGTGGCCCATTAATTTTGAGGCAGACAGATTGAATGAAAACACTTATGGGGTATGCTAGCCTTCTCAGGGGCCTGGGAGTTACTCCAAGGCTTTGAGACATGCACACACATATTCAATGGGGAGATTTGACCCCATCCTGCAACCTGCCACCTGATTTCTTGATGGGGGAGAAAAAGGGGGAAGAGAGAGAGAGAAGAGGGGAAGGGAGGAGGAAGAATCTAGACCAGAGAGAGAAATGGAGGAAACAGGATGGACAGTATGTGACAGAACGTAGATTAATAGGAATGGGTTAATTTAAATTATAAGAGCTAGTTAATAACAAGCCTAAGCTAAGTTAATAACAAGGCCAAGCTCTCATAATTAATAAGTCTCAATGTCATTATTTGTGAGCTGGTTTCCCAAAGAAAAACTCAAGTACACACACGCCCCAGTCATACCAAAAGAAAACTACTGTGTGTACTTGCTCCTCCTAGGGAGATCTTTTAGAATGGTAGCCTTGGCCAGCATTGTCCTTTAGCTCCTTGTAGAGCCAAGGAGCAGTAGATGGTGGTGGAGCAACCAAGCTGTGACCAAGGCTTCTGAAGCTAAAGCTTCAGTTATCTAAATTGGAGCAATTATAGTAGTGTAGAAAAAGCACAAGCTCTCAGCTCAAACTGTCTTCATTTTCAGATGAGGAGGGAGAGTCTGGTATCCTCTGTCCAAGGAAAACTCACACTCATGCTTTGAGGACACAAACACTCTGGAAACTGCTGGCATTTAGTAACTGAGAAGATACACTACAATTCCTTCTTTTTGGTAGGGGGGTGATGCTTGTCTCAATCCTGCTGTCACTGGATGGTAGAACCCACACAGAAAGACCTGAGCACTTCTGGGCTAACCTCCACCACTGGGGCACATTTACTTCACTCTGTGCTTATGCTCACTGTCTGTGGGGGGAGGTAGGAGAGGTGTTAAAAGATAGATGACTGATTATAAATCCCCCCATACCTTCCTCAGCCCTTCTTTCCTGGGTGCTTGCCTGGGCACCTTTTGCTGAGGAGGAAAATGGCACAGGCATGTGTGTGTTTGGGTTGGGGGTTATCTGTACTTTTCTTTTTAAGCATCAGTCATGTTGTCTCCTATGTTGTAGGAATGAGATTGCATGGTCTCACACATCTTTAGTATCCATACTTTTATGTTAATCCATCTTTAAGATCTCTTCAAGATGGATGCTTTTGCTACTCTTTGTTGACTTCTGATGTTTTTTGAGAATGCAAACAATGAGAACTAAAATGTCATCTCCCAATAGCTTTTATGCCACCTCTTATTGCATTTATTTGTGTGTTTATTTGTGTGTGTGTGTGTGTGTGTGTGTGTGTGTGTGTGTGTGTGTGCATGCACACACATACACATTTGTTAGGGTGAGGAGGTGGAGGCCAGAGTACAACTTGTGGTAGAGTGGGTTTGTCAAAGACTAAACTCAGGTCATCAGGTTTGGCAGCAAGTGCCTTTGCTTACTAATCTATCTTGTTAGCCATTGTGTGCCATCTCTGGTAGGAATCTCAATTCTGTCATCTTCTTCCTTCCTTTTCAAGTCTACATGTTTATTGTTATTTTGACACAAGGTGTCATGTAGTTCAGACTGGCTTCAAACTTAATATGTAGAGCAAGGAGGGATATGCATTTCTGATATTCCTGCTTCTATTTGTCCAGGGAACCAAGGTGTGCACTACATACCCAGGTTACACAATGTTGAGGACTGAGCTCAGGCCTTCATGCATGCTACACAAGCACTCTATTCAGTTAGCGCTGCAGCCCCCAATTTTATTTTTAAAAGATGTTATTCTTTGTTTAGAATCAGTGGTGTATTTAGTAACAACTGTTCCTTTTCCTGGGGAGATGTTAAGAAACATTTATTTGCCTCAGATAACAAGCCAGCAGATCAAAGTGTTCCATCCAAATTCAGCTTGGTGAACTATTGAGTTTGTTGAGATTACTCACAGGACACAAATTACTCTCAGGCTGCTGAGTCATTTGGAAATTGTTTATCTTGCAACAACATCACAAAGACCCTGCAACATCATGTGTGACTGGGAGGGCATTATAATCTTAGGTGATGGTGATGCCTTTCCCAGGAGAGGAGGGACTGTCACAACCTCCTCATTACCATGTACCCAGCTGTCACTATATTCTACTTATTTTGTTGCCATGACTGTGGAAGAAGGTATCCTTTGAGCACCACAGCAGCTCAGCTTCATTATGATGCTGGCCATGTCACACCAGAGAAAATGGCTTCACCTCAGCATGAGCCAAAACCAATGTGAACTGAGATGGGGTCAAAAGTCAGGGTCACACTGCCAGGAGGATGGTGAATGGTTCTACGCCCAGCCTCCAGCAGGCACTGAGGGTCTGTATGTGGATGAAGGACCTGACTAGCCAGGCTCAACAGGATTGTATATGTCCATCCATCCATCCATCCATCAATCCATCCATCCATCCAGTTAGCACTTTAGATAGTGGAGATGTCAGAGAATAATTCCATAGAAAAATCATTAAAAATTACAGGAAAGATGGCTGAGCAGGAAAGATGGTTGTCACAAAACTTAATAGTCTGAGTGTGAGCACAAGAAATTACAAATTGTCCTCCAACCTCTACACAAACACTACATGCTTTTACACCTCCCAAGTAAATCAATAAATACGATTTTTAAGTTTTAAAAATATGCAGGAGAACATTCTAGACTATCATGAGTTGGGAGTCTCCTGGGAATATAGAATTTGGAGTAGAGGACATTGAAGTCAGAATGGGATGCAAGACTAGAATACAGGAAACCAAACAGTATGGAGATAGAAATGGAAGGTTACAACAGAAATAAGCATATGCTTTCACTTTTCTCAGAAAGAAATGTAGGCAAACAAGGTCATAAGTTTAAGACAATTTCTTGATAAAATACGTGCTTCAAGCTTTTCTATGGGATACTATTATTAAGGGATACACAGCCTCCCCCAGTCATGGCAGGGCTAGATGAAGAAGGGGAAGGATTTAAATCCTGTTCTGTTCAATACTTGCCTGCTGACTGCATGAAGAGGGATGCCTGATAAGGGATTGGGTGGCTAAAAAAATATTGCATGCCATTGGCTTTGGGCTACACGTTCTCTGAATGAATATTTGTTTCTGAGAGATGATAATGGTGATGATGGTGATGGTGGTAGGAACATCTAATCACTCTAGTGATACCTCTGGGAAGAAAGATGGTACCTAAAATTCACACTCATGGGAACATGGAGGCTGAGCTCCAAATGGACCAGCCTGCTTGGCTCAAGATGCCAAGGCCCTTCCCCAAGACTGGTTGTGGGTTCTTGGGTTATCAGTAGTCAATGCTGATTATAATATGATTTTATTTTACTTTGCCCTTAAGTTTATTATGATTTTTTCTTATAAAGCATTTTCATATAAATAGTATATATTGATCATATTCTTTCTCCTTCTAATGCTAATTTTATTTTACTTCATTTCTTGGGAACAACCTCAAAGCAGAGAGATATAAATGATAGTGAGATAACTCCAGAGCTGAGTCTACTCCCAATGGCTGGGCTCCCAATCATTGGTAAGTCCATTTCAGGGAAAGACTGAAACTCTAGAGTCAGGGAAACAATTTAGGACATGAGACTGGATATCAAGCAGAGGTAAAAAATGTGTTGTCCAAAACAGCAGCTGCTAGGTCAAAGTAAAGTAGGGTGTTCAGCTCCTCAGCCACATTATTCATAGCAGGACAGCCAAGTGTGGTGTGGGGCTGCCT